CAACACACGACTCACTCACACCATGGCCGAAACCCCAGACCGTCGGCTTCCACCACCTACTGAGCCGGGGAGCTACCCCGACAGCCGCCCGTCCTCGTTTGCAGGCCGCACAGACACCCCGGACTGAGCGACCTCCACCTCCATGTACCTGGCCCGTAATGGTGGTCAGGTTCGCTGGCGTGATTGTGCACTTCGTCACGGATCCTCTTCAAGTGCGAGTGCCGCTGGTGTGGTGAGTCCTCCTCCCTCTCTCTCTCTCTCTCCATTCCAACCCGCTGGCTTGCTCACTCCTACCACCCTTAGTCTTTTTCGGATGCACCTGGCGTCAACCACGTCTAGGTTAACTCAGTTTTCTTTTCATCCTTTCCCCGCCATACACAACGCAAGCATTCTCTTACTAATCTCTCTTCTTACTAACCTTTCTCCAAATCCGTCTTCGCCAATCGGTTCTTTACGCCAAAAAAAACTACCCGTTGCCTTTTGTCTCGCTCAAATCCATCGAGATTCGAGCGAGATATAGACTTTCTATTCTCGTCGAGTTTTCCTCCTCGACACTCCCGGTGCACTCACTTTTCTACTAATCTCCCATCCTACTAACTCCCACCTAAAACTGACCCCATATCCCAATTCGCAACTACCTAAAACCTCTATGTCGTGCCTTTCCTCGCTTGATTCCGCAAGGAATCGAGCGAGATACGCTCTCCCTTCTTCTCTTTCAAACACCCTGCCATAGCCACCGGCGCACGGACCTTCCTTCTTTACTCTTATTCTACTAATCTAACGTAAGAATTGACCCTGTCACTACACTCGCCATGGCCGAAAATCCCCGAGGCGACCCTTCCCCCTCCTGCTTCCTTCTAGGATCGCGCGAACTTCGTGATCTTCTGCCCGCCCTCTCTTATCTCCCTCATCACTCCGCTATTCAACCACCGAATGTACCCCGACGCGCCCCCCGTCCGGATTCATTCTACACATCTTTGCCACTCCGCCTTTGCTCTTTTGCCTGCCTTAGCCCCCACCCGATAGTCACCCCGCAGTGGTCCGCCTCGCTTCTACACACTGCCGCCGCTGTCGACTCTGCCTCGTTCGATGCAACGCAGTGCTACCTGGCCAACCCGAAGGAGGACTTCGGGAAGATCCGACTACTAGCCGGTTCGATTAGTCTTTCGCCTCTATACCCAAGTCCGACGTTCAACAGCTCGAGCTATCCTGCGGAAAACTTCGGAGGGAACCAACTACTAGACGGTTAGATTAGTCTTTCGCCCCTATAGTCCACCACACGGTGTGCCTCCCGTCTGCGCCGCTGCTGCGCCGCTCGGCCCTGCTGCTGCGCCGCGCTGCATTAGCGCCCGTCGGACTGAGGTCCGACGTTACTACCTCCCCTTTTCCTTCACCCCGTCCGGGTTCATTCTGTTCTCCTGTTCGCTACCTGGCCCGCGGGCTGCTGCATAACGCAGCACCACCGACTCCGCCGTCCAGGCTCTCCCTGCCAAGCTCTCTCTTCGCCCCGGCTGCCGATTTCTTCAACCTATGGTCCGCGGGCGGCCTGCCACAACCCTTTCTTACCTTGCTCCGCTCCTACGGTGTCCACCACCACCTCGGACCCCCAACGAGCAAACTCTCGTTCAGTCAGTTGGCCATGGACCCACGGCCTGTTGTAAGGCCTATACGTGGGCCTTAGTGAGGCGGGCCCTGTACGACCTTCGGCGGTAATTCCAATGAGAACTTTGAAGACCGAAGTCGGAGAAAAAGCCCGTGGGCGAACCGCGTGGGGACGAACGGTGCTCCTCAGCCCACGCACCAAAATAAAAATAGGATACAGAAATGTCGCCGGCACCCCAAGCGCGGGGGAACCCGCAGGCCAGCCTTAAAAGGCGCGCACTCAAGGTCCTCAGCCGCCGTGACGACCATTAGATCCGGCGTCCCGTCCAAAGCAATGCCCCGCCGGGGTAGGAAAAATACGACACTAGAATAAAATTATTTTAGAAAACGCCACCACCAATCGGACGTCGCCACTAACAAAACCGAGGAGGATAGCCCCACGGCCCTCAACCCCATCGGCCTTCTCCCCAACGCTCTGCTATCGCGGCATCGACGTTAGCCGGCCTCGATCCCCGAACCTTCGTAGCAGTAGTCCGATGTCGTAACCTATAGGGCTAAGCCCAAGCCTGAGACCAATATCCGCGGAGCGCCATATAAGCAGTGCGGCGCGGCGCTATGGGCCGACAACCGGCTACACGGTTCCTAATGCCCGCGCCGGTTTGCTTATACCATGCCATAATTGCCTTGCGCGCCATCCTACGACACCCCGCTTACCGCACGAAGCCGCGCCGTCGTTGCCAACGCCATTGTCGGGGCCGCTCTCCGCACGCGCGCTCGACTCGGTCAAGTGTACCAATCAAAAGGAAACATCCTTAATTCCTGCTTAATCAAAAATAAATAATAAAATAAATAATAAAATAATATTATCAAGCAAAACGACTGAGGTCCGGTCCGGCTTTACGATCAACAACAGAAAAGAGTCACGCGCGCTTTAAGCCTGCGCGCCCACGCATTCGCTATTGCGGTCAACCACCAGTCAAAGCAATTACTGACGTAGCCGCGCTTAGCGCGGTACACTTAAACTCTAGACCAAAACTATTTTTTGTCACTTGCAAAAACCAGGGCGGATACCCTTGTAAGGGTATTCGCACCGACAACTTACCGGACCATATTAAGCGACGTCCCCGTCGCTTCGCCAAATCAGAAAGCTATAAATCCATCCACACTCCAAATGCTGACGAAAAATGAGCCAATCCGATTAGCCGACAAACACAGGGTAGAGGTCTCCATCAAAACATACCTCCACAGCTATATGCTGCCAGGTTTCTAACCTAGGCCTCTCACCTCCCAGAAAATTAGGTCACTGACAAAATAAGTTCCAAAGATCTTCCCAATCATCCTCTCTCCGGTTCTAGACAACCTTCGGCCTCTCGTTGGGTGTCCCTAGTCCTGGCAAAAACTAGGGACGAGGGCCTTAATCGAGACCTTTTGAAGGCACTCTCGTCTTCCTTCTCAAAACCTCTCGCAATCAAATAGACATAAGTATATATGTATACTTAATATTCGCTCAGCTCTTTCTGCAGTCTAGTACAGAAAGGCTAGGTCTCTACCTTGGCCCACCACAGCCTGGCTGATCGAACCAGGACCACGGCCCACCGCATTGTTATTTAACGGCAGTACCTTCGTTGGTTACGCAACGATAGGTTTCCTCCTGATAAGCATTCAATCAGGATTTCCCCCTAAAATTTTCAACCATCATTATCCCGCGGAGTAATTTCACTGGGGCGGGCAACCCCCTTTAAACTCTTACCCCGCGGTCCCGCAGCCAGGTTGCGCCGGCTAGAAGCCATCCTATGGGGTTACGCCTAAGAGGTACTAACTTCTTTTCCGTTAGCTTGGCCTTTCTTCAATATGTCTCAGAATTAGCACTAGTGGTTAGACGGGGGCGTCGCAAAACAAAATCACTGGCCCACTGCGCGATCACGCAGGGGTCTGAAGGCATTTACCAGCCCTTCCACAATAGGCATGGCATCCTTCGCACGCTCACAAACAAAATTACCGCTTGGTCCACCAGGCCGTGATCCCTGACTTGATCAGAGTCAGCAGCCACCCACTGTGAGACATCTTTTGCACTGCATTCATTGCGACTTTCTCAAACATTCCAAACAAAAGTGACTCTTTTCGTCAGTCTATATCACCCATCAAACAACTCGTCATGCCATAAATCAGTTTACTCACCTCTTAGGGTGATTCTTCCAACCATAGACCATTCCCCTTTTCAAAAAATCCAAGGGGCTCTCATCATAAACAAAAACACCCCCTCTTCAAAAAATCACGAGGGGTCTCGCCATAAAACCAAACTCCCCCTCCTCAAAACTCGAGGCGGTCTCATCATAACACACAACATCATAAAACATCCCCTTCCCCAAAAATCCAAGGGGCTCTCATCATAAAACAAAACATCACTGAGAGACCATCTTATGGGTCCTCATCACAACTTAAACAATCAATAATCAACATGGTAAGCTTTTTGAGCCTCTAGGGCTCATAAAAAATCCTCACAATTTTTCACAAACAGGCTGCACTCCCTCCCCTTATACTCTGCCCTATCAGCTGCCCGTGGGCAGGTCGCACAAGTATACTGAGGAGTAGACAGTTTTGCTTACAATCATATTCACTGTACTTATGGCAAAGTAAGATGTTTTTCACACGTTGTCCACACAAACTCATCATACATCAGAGTACAACCACACATGTGAGAGTGATAAGTGATCGTCATATATATGAATGGTCCCTGAAATAAAACCTCATCATGATATACAAAAAAAAACTCACACAAAAAATGTCTCCAAATCTTAGCTCACTCAACTCAAGCCACACCAAACCCATACTGATAACAACCCCTAGAATACATGTCAGATCTGTCTCTCAAAACCTTGCGTAGATCACCTAAATATATACATGCCTCATCTAAATCACCCTGAACCTCAAGACCCCAGCTCAGTAGGAACACTAGAGTTCAGATCTAGACTAATAGCAATCAACAAAAAGGTCCTCTAAGTCTAAGAGGGTATCACACAGACCCTAAGCTGATGCCTCACAAGATACTCGCCCACTTCCATAGACAAATCGGCACTATCTCCTCAACTCCTCCTTGTTTTGCCTATATAACTGAGCCCTAAGTCCATCTGCGGACTTCTCTACTATCCTACCTTGTCCATCATACATCTTACCTCCTACCTCTGAGACCTTCCCTGCTGCCTTATCCTCAAGAAACTCGAGACAATCCAGAGCATGATGCATGTCCCTCTTGCAGCAGAAACATAGCTGATCTACCTTCTTCTTGAACTTCTTCTTCCTGGGCTGAGGAGGTGGCGATGAAGGAGATCCTACCAAGGTACTGACAACCCCCTGCTGCTCTGATCGAGAAGCTGCGGTACTAACGACCTCCTGCTGCTCTGTCCTAGGAACCGGTCCTCTAGACCCAGATCCAGTAGTTCAAGATCCCAGTCTGCTCCTCAAATCCCCTGTCGCTAGGACGTACTCAGGCGTGTCCAACCTCTGAGGTTTCCTCTTGAGTGTCTTTCCTGCCACTGCCGTGGGCAGCTCCTCAATCTCCTCTGGTCCATACTCAGGTGTGCCCATCCTCTGGAGCCTGCTCTCGATGGCACCCTCCGCCTCAATCCATATCTCTCTCTCACGCGACTCCTCTATCCTCTGCTCGGGTGAAAACAAACTCGCCTCCTCCTGCATGGTATGCACTGCCTCAAGGAGTACGCCCATGGATACTTCTGCTGACCCCTGAGCCGGCTCACTGCTAGATGGCGGTAGCCCCTCCTCAATCGCCAAAGGTACGATTGGGCTTGCCGCTGCCACTGGCAACGTCGCGAGCTCAGTAGGGGCTCTAAACTCGAACGCCTCTCTCTCTGCTTGTCTCTGGGCTCTCGCCTCCTCTGGCTCCGGGATAACGCTTCCCATAGGTCGCTCCGGGCGAGGCTCTGCTGCAGATGGCTGTCCAGGTAACCCATGTCCTGGCTGCCTCTGCTCTCCCTGCCTGCTGCTCTGGGAGTGCCCCTGCTGCCTCTGATCTCTGCCTCTCCCGCTGCTTCTCCGGAAGCTCCCCCGCTGCCTCCAACCTCTGCCTCTCTTGCCATATATCGTCTATCCTTCTGGTCCTTCTCGCCCTCTTCTCCTCTGCTGTCTCTCCAGTTGGCGCTCTTTCCCTCGTGCGGAGGTGGACCCTCTTTAGGATCTCTTCTTCCATCTCCTTCTCGGGCTGGTACGGCTCCCGGCGAGCCTCTGCAGGTGCTGGCTCTTCCAGGTCTCGGTGCTCCAGGGCATGAGCTGCTAGGTGCCTGTCAATCAGGATCAAGGCTTCTCTCCTTTCAGCTTCCCTCTCTCTTCTCCTTTCTGCCCTATCTTCTGGCGAAGGAGCCTTTCCTGATGAAGGTAATGGGACCTCCTCTCTCTGCAACCTCTGCCTGCCGGGTGCTCCCTAGTGCATCCCCGAGTCTCAAACCCACTGCTGGCGTCTGTGGGGGCGTGTCCTCTCCAACCTCTATCACTTCCTTCGCTGCACGTCTGCCCACATCGTCCAGCCCTCTCTCGCGCTGAGTATCCTGGACCTCCTTCCGTGGCACCTCCTCTCGTGGCACCTTCTCTGCCTGCTCTCCATGCTCCTCACCCTGAGGCGATGCTCTCCACTGAGAGATATCCAGATGCTTCTCCAACTCCCTCAAAGGCCCCTCAGACACTAGCGGCTCCTCCTGTGTGTGTGCTGGCGACCTCCTCAATCCACCCTCAGTAAAACGATGAAACTCCACTGCTCCCAACCCACACTCAGGGTATGCCCCTCGCTCCTCAACCTCTGACTCCAAGTCCGACTCCTCTTCTCTCCTGGCTAGGGCCTTTCGTCCTCCTCGAGACGGTCTCGCCTCCCTGGGCTCAGGGTCCCTCTGCCTCTGACTCCTCTGACGCCTCTCAACTCTGGGCTAAGGGGGCTCTGGCCGTCGAAAGGCCTCTCTCAGATGTGCCTGCAGGTCTCCCAGTCCCGGACCATGCTTCTGATATGGCTAGCCAGTGGCCTTTCCGACTTCCTGGTCTAGAGTGGTAGCGTCTGCATCCAATCATCTCTCGGTATACCCTTCCCCTGCATGAACCACTCAAACGCGGGGATGAAGTCCGACGCATTTCCAATCTCCAGGCGGATCGGCCTGCCATCTTGTCCCACAGGCGAGGGTCGCAACTCCTCCATCCTCATTTCCACCTCCTGCCTCGTCGTCGCCTCCCTACGAATCCTGGCAATGGCCTCCTCGAATCTGCCTGCTCCCCTCAATCTCTCAATCGCCTGAGCCACGGTCCAGCCCATACGCCTCGCATGCTCGCAGAAACTGTCCAGGAATCGCTCGATGTCCCCATTATTGTAGACCGGAGTACTCCCTCGATGGTGAGGCCCATGCTGCTCATATCCTCCTGATGCGCCCAACGGCCTCTGAGGCGGCCGTGTCCCCTTCCCTCCTCTTGGCATGGCTGTCTTCGTAAAGTCAGACCTGCACAACAGGCGAAGGAGACAACAGGCACACATTGGGGTAAGCAAGCAGGTGATAATCAAAGCAAGCTTAGACCAGACCACACTCATGCAGCATGCATCCTACCTAACCTACACACCCTATTACTTCTATTCTAAAGGCAGTCAGGTCATCTCTCTCTTACCTCTTCTCTCGCCACAAACTCATTCTGTCGCGTTCTAGATACCCAATCCTTCCATTCAGTCTCATTTAGCTCCTCAATCTGATACGCTCTGAAGTCTCCGACCCGTACGATCCGGTAGGGACCTAACCACCTCTTATCGAGCTTCCTGGACCATTGCTTCTCCAGTGATGAATCGTAGAGGAGCACGACATCCCCAACTGCCAAGGGTACTTTTCTCACCGGCGCAGATTTATCCCATCGAGCCTTATCATCCATACGGTTTCTCGCCACCTGGTCAGACGCTTCCTGGATCCTTTCTTCTATCGCCCCTATCTGTCGCGCCCGAATATGGAGCAACTCTTCAAATGACAGGTTAACTTCTAGATCCTGGCGCCTCCATGTCTTAAGAGAACTCTCGATAGGGAAGGTGGCGTGCCTTCCATACCACAATGTTGCCGATGAGTACTTGGTGGATCTTTTTATTGTAATGTTCTCGACAAAGAACGCCGCCCTTAGGTATCTTGGCCATTGATTAGGCCTACCTTCAGTCCACTTAGCCAGGAGACTCGTAATGGTACTATGTCCTCTCTCTACGGGAGCATTCGCCTGGAGGTGTGCGGCCGTGGTGTAGTTGGCTGCCACACCGTACCTTGATAACAATTCTTGCACCTCCTGGCAGGTAAACTCTGATCCCCTGTCCATTACAAATTCCCTGACGAAAGGATAGCGCAGGTAATACTTCTCGATGCAGCTCACCAGGACCGACCCGGTCTTCGTGCGAATAGCACGCCCGTCTACGAACCCAGACAAGTTATCGCGCGCATTGAAGATGTAGTTATAGCCCTGATCCCCAAGCGGCATAAAAAGTAGATCGAGATGCACTACGGCCCCCACCTCTCGCTCTACCCTTGGATGCAGCGGCTCTCCTTGCCTTAAACGGGATATTTCCTGGCAAGGTACGCAAGATCGGCAGAACTTCCCGACCATATCCATCATCCCATCCCAGTAGTATAGCTCACTTATCTTGGCATACGTGGCTTGTACCCCTCGATGCCCTCCTGCAATGCCATCGTGGAGCGCTGCTACGACGTCGATCTGACGATTCCTACCGCAGGCGACTCTCCTGGGACTCCTCACTCCTCTTCTCACGAAAAGGTGGCCGTCTCGCACTAAGTAGCGCTGCAGCATCCTCTGAGCCCTATCGCTCGCATCCCTTAGCTGCATTTCGCAGGACAGAAGAAGTCCTAGCTCTAGGTAGATCCCGTCGTACTCCTCTGCACGAAAAGCCTCCTTAATCTCTCCCTCCTCGAACTCGTCGTCCTGGCTCTCGGGCACTTCGTCCACATTTTCTGCCGGGTTCAACGAGCCTGACTGGTCAAGGCCTTTTTGTAATAACATGTTGACGAGGAGATACATTTAACTTCATCAGGTCCTCATGTCGTTCTACCTGGCCAGGTTCTTCCTTTAATCGTTCTCATATCCTCCACCAAACTATGCGAGCTGGCCAGCGCTAATTCCATCATCCACTGAACATCCTTACCACCCCATGGATCCTCTTCTTCAAAGGGTTTGAGGACTAGCTCAGCCCTCCRTTCRTATYCATTTGGTGCTTGCYAGATAGGATAGCCTACASAGCTGGGCACTCGCGGCRACCACTTATTTATGTGGAGACGAACGWCTTCTTYCTGATCTAGAAATCCATCAACTGGGGGCGTACTCTCCACCGCCTCCCCTTCCTGTTTATCCCAGTTGATCCGACTCAACCCRTCCGCCCGGTTTTTACTGCCAGGAATCCGTTCCAGTTCGAAATTGAACAAKCAGATGTACGTTARCCATCTGGCAACCGTCGGATCCGATGGAACGTAATTCCTTAGAGAGTAGGCCAGGGCGGTCGGATCCACCCTCRAAATAAACCTCCTGCCRAARATGTAGTTCMGGAMGATTCGCAGACAGTGGAGGACGGCAAGGGTCTCCCTCTTSAACTRAGAGTAGTTCCTCTCGGTCGTAGAGAGAGTCYGACTCTCAAATCKCAAGCGCCKTTCCTTTCCCTCCATRTSTGCCTGGATTAGAACTCCTCCTAAGGCAGTTGGCCCCGCATMTGTTTTGACAATGRAGGGTCGTGTTTYTGTAGCATCATAATCTGGCGCTCCTAACACCAACCCTCCTCCTCGAAATTTCTCCTTCATTCTGGCTACCACCTCTTCTTGCTCTTTACCACAAACCCATTCCTGATCCTAACGGACTAACTTCCTCAGATGTTCAGTCTTAGCGGCAAAGTTCTTGACGAAGGCCCTCCAAAATCCACACSTACCAAGGAAGCTCCTKACATCAGTTATTGMGTRGAACGGAACCGRCCACTCAGTAATCTTGTCCGYCTTCTTCACATCCGGCCTTCGRCCCTTCTCSCTGCAGATGAACCCCAAAATAGTCGCTTCCCTCATACAKTGTCTGGATTTGGCCCCGCTTGCCGTGAGGTTATGCTCCTCGAGCAGGCTCAGGACWTTTTTGAGGTCCTSGATGTGCTCCCAAACAAAGCGCCTTACCCYTGGCAARACTTYGTCGCTCTCCTTTACTGTCGTCCCCTTCACCGCCAAATCGYCGATGTATGGCTGTGTAATATGGGGGCWRACTGACTSCATAACCCGAATCATGGCCCGTTGGACCATAGCTACCGCGTTGGTCCAACCTTGAGGGGCCACGTTCATGTGGATTAATCCTCGCGGCGTGTGCATAGCCGTCACASGCCTATCCGGCGGGTAGACTGGAAACTGATCGTATCCTGAGTRAAGGTCTATAAGCGAAATTRYAGGYCTTCCAGCACAGGATTCCGACAAAGCATCCGYATTTRGCAGTCCTCCAGCATCTCGCACGGTCACCGCATTTAACCTCTKCAGATCTTGCACCCATCGCAGCGTKCCGTTAGGCTTAATGAAGCAAAAYCACGGGGACGCATACGGTCCACTAGAATAGTCGGCGACGTCCGTATGTATTTTGCCGTCGAGGTAATCCACCACCTTCCTTTCCTCGTCAGGATTGGGGTATCGCGCCCCTCTCATGTTCCAAGGCTTGTGTGGCACGGTGTGGATGCGGATCATAGGTATCTTGTCCACATCCAGCGTGCCACGCTCCTCATCGCTAAACGCACAGGCGCGATGCCTCCTCTTCATCGATTCCACCACCAATGTTCGCTCTTGAGGTAGTAGGAAGTTGGACTCCCCTATGATTAACTCCTCCTCGTTCCCTTCGTTGATACGATATGGCCCTGCTAAAACACTTTCCCTCATTCGCCGTATCAACCCTCGTTCCCTTTCGTAATATGCTTCCTTGACTTCTGTAAGGAGGACGGGAACCAGGCGCCACTTCTTGTCTACCGTCTTGTACCGCCTTTAGGAACCCTGCTTGAGCCGTCCCCTAAGAAAGGCCGACGCACAGATTGCATTTGCGCTGATGCGGGGTTCCCTCCGCTGCCTGGGAACCGATATACCAATTCCAACCTTCCTGCCTAGGGGCATTCCAGAACTTGCTCCCTCAAAGACTGGATGGCATCTAGATCTGCCATCTCATGCGCGGCCACCAAGTCCATGACCTTCCCAATATCTGACAGGCTGAGGGAAAATGCTTCCACCCTCTCTACTGCTTCGGGCTCTGCCCGGAGCCTCCGGCATTCTCCTTCCAATTCCTCGATCGTGAACGATCCTGGATTGGACCGGTTCCTTATACTCCTTGGCCCGGTGTTCCTGCAGGTAATTATTTTGTAATTCCCACAGGCAGGATCGCATAAGAGAAGGATTAGAGTCCCGTCATGTTTGTTGAACATCACGGTTTCCGTCCTGCTTAGGAATGACCTCCCCAGGAGGATTCCGTGATCCACGTCTGGCATGATGAAGAAGCAAGCCCGGGCCTTCACCTTTCCAACCTCGATGAGTACATTCGAGGCTGTCCCACAAAAAACGGCTTTGCAGCTGGCTCCGTGCAGAATACCGCAGTTAGAACGGTATATATCCAGCCCAAATCTGATTGCGTCCGCCTCCCGAATGATGTTCATTTCGGCCCCGGTGTCCACCATTGCCGCACACTTGGAGCCCTTCACCACCAAATCCACCGTGCCGCAGGCTACACACTTCCARTCSATTTTCGTCCCCGACTCTGYCCACTCAGCCTCCTTGGGCWGAATCATACCCAGATGGACATTGGGTACCAGGCGCCKCGACAATCTCCCCTTCAGTTCATCGCGGAGTCGYGGGGCTGACGSTAGGATTTCCTTCAGGGTYATGAGGTCATTATGCCCTTTCAGCAGCCTGTCAATYWCTCTCTCTACGTCAAATCCCTCTTCCAACCGAACCACGTATTTCTTCTTATTGGGTGGTCCATCACGTATGACTGACTCGGCCTCTCCCCTGGTTCCYTTTTTTCTCGCCCGCTGCTCCGTTCTCTGATCCTCTTCTGTGCRCAGCCTCTCGTCCTCTTCCTCTTCATCATCGTCGTCCTCTACTTCCACAACCTCTTTCCTTCTCCCTGGTTCGGTTTCCCTCCTTGGAGGCTCTTGGCTGGCACTGGCCTTGGCTTGATTCCTCGTTCGCACTGTCTGTGCCAGCCGGGCCTGCGGAGTGAGGGGTCTCCCCATCATTCCCGATTGTGGGCACGACCCCACCACATTTACTCCGGGTCGCCCAGGCGCTGACTCCGGGCCGGAGTCATAGAGGAACACTTTGGGGATGTTAGACCTCCATCCCTTCACTTCCTCACAGAGGCCCACCAACTTCTGTTGGTACCTCCCCATCTTATCCAGCAGGTCCTCCATCTTCCCAAATAAGACGGACTGAGGCTCCATTCTTTCCTCCTCATCCTCGTCATCTGACTCGATGATTATGGGCTCTTCCGTCTTACTTCCTCCTCGTTGCCCTTGAGCCACTTCCTCATCGCTCCCCACTTCCTCTACCCCAATCGGTGGTTCCTCCTTTTCCTGCCATAGCCTGAACATGGCAGGGGGTGGCGGCCCAGTTGCCGCTCTTCGTTGGGCTTCAACCCTCACTCCTCCAAGCCTTCTGTCAATTGCCTCCCCAAACTGATCGTAGATATTCTCATCCATAGTGGAGGAAATCAGTCCGCTTCTCTCGTCTTCCCCTCTTATATTACAGAACCTTATAATGTGGCCTTGCTGGTCACAATGTTGACAGATGGTCGTCCTCCAGTCAAAACGGGGTCTTCCATACCCCTAACTTCCCTGATCCCCCTGGCCTTGATACCCCTGGCCTTGACTCCCTCGTCCTTGGTACCCCTGGCCTTGACTCCCTTGGCCTTGGTACCCCTGGCCTTGACTCCCTCGGCCTTGGTACCCTTGGCCTTGATTCCCTTGACCTTGGTACCCCTGACCTTGACCATTCCATTGCCTTCCTTTTCCGCCGCCATTCCTGCCTCGCCCCCTTCCTCCACCCCTCCCTCCGTTGCCTTGATTGCCGTGCCCCTGGTTCCCACCTCCTCCAACACTGCCCTATGAACTGGGAGCAGGAGACGGTGGCGGGGCCACAGGCTGGGCCTGGGCCGCGGGGTAGATGGGTGGTGGCATACTCGTTTGCGGTCCGGCTACTGGCGGCGGGCTTCCTCATGGCACAATTGCATTGATCACCGGCCAGGGCCACTGTCCGTAGGAGGGCGCCCCACCTTGCGAGGGGCCCGTACTAGATGATGGAGCCGCCACATTTAAAAGGGCTGCTGCCGGGTCCTGAGGCGCCTGCGCTTTTCCTGATCCCTGTCCGCCCTGCGCCAAATCACGCACTTTGCGCTGAACCTTCGTAAGGTGCTGCAGCACCGATTCTTCCTCTCCTCAGAGCTCTTCGTGAACAACCTTCTCTATCACCGGCTCCTTTCCTTTCACTTTGACAGCCGTCATCACCCTCCTTTGCACCACCGGCTCTGTCGCATACTCTAGCTGTGCCAGCACGTCTGTAACAATCCTTGTTACCCCCGGGGTACCAGAAACAGCGCATCTCTTTCCTTTCTCTTCTGCCTTTGTAGGCGTACCTGACGTTGCTCCACCTGGTCCAAACACCCAACTTCCATCCCTCTGTCAATGGTGGCCCAGGTGAGCTTAGTGCTACCTCCTCCATGCCTCGTCAACTCGACGGCCTCCGATGCCGTGAGTAGCCTCAGGAAGATGGTGCATTGTGCTTCCTCCGAAATCCCATGGACCTTCCGCGCTCTCTTCTGAAATTCTTGAACAAAAGCCCCTATTGTCGTAAAATCCTCTTTGTTCATCGCCTCAAGGTCTGCGGTAGTCAATAGCCCGTCTCCCAAGCGGTACTTCCTCTGCATCCCCTCCTTGAACCTCTCCCAGCTACCTTGAGCCGCATCTATGACTTTCTTCACCTCCTGATGGTAGCTGTGGAGGACATACTGAAGGATGCGTCGAAACTTTACAACATCCGACCGCCCAACCAAAGCTTGTTCCACCCTCTCTAGCCATTCTGAGACTCTCTCCCCACAGAAATGGAAAGTATCGGCCTTTGGGATGTTGCTCGGATTCTTTTCATGTCGGTCGATGGCCGCGATGAGGTCATCGAGTGTCAGACCCTTCTTGGGAGCAACTGATACGCCGCCAGTCTCAGGCATTTTGACAGCCTCTTCTTTTCAAGTTCCCTGGCAAAAGAAAACAAGCACATCCCCTTATTCAACATTATACCTTGACCGGTCTATTCCATCCGTCCTACCTAACTCTTACTACGTACCGTTTCCCAATACTACACCTTCACCCTTCATCCCTTCCCTTACTTAGGTAGGTAAATTTCCTTACCTATACTCAATCGTTCATTATCTTTCCTCACTTTCTGGTCCTTCCTTTATGCCTTTTCTCATTCACTTCTCATACCCGGATGTCGTTCTACCAGGGACAACGGTAGACTTTCCGTTATCCCTGGCAACGGCGCGACCTGTCGGGCGCATCGGTCCGACACCGCACCAAGGCAGCACGGGACCCTCCCGACTGCATCACGCAGGAGTTGGTTTTAAATCCTTCGTCGCAATATATACGGAGCTTCCTTAGGCCGCTCCGGCCGAGTGCGCCATCCATACCTCTCGCGAACCCCTCCGACAGGATAGGGCCTACGCGAGGCACGACTTACCTACACCTTACGGGAGCTGTCACCTCCCTTCGGTGGGCGTATCCCTGCCGAGCTACCAGCCCACAGTACGAAAGCTAATCAGTTGCAATCGCAAAGGTGGACCAGCTGAGGGCGTTTCTCGTTCGCTGTAGCATAGGGCATACGCGCGGTAATACGCCTTTATCGAACCCTCACGCGAATCGGCATCCTGGGGGGGCTGAGGTCCCAAGCGCGACCCGTCATCGGTCGACTAGGACGCATCTCACACACCACGCGCACTCCACTTTACGAATACACATACACACAAAACAACACATATACGAAACGACACAACACAAACAACGCGACAACGCTCCTAGCCCCTCGGTAGCCAACCCATAACTTTCCAAAGCGGAAATCGAATAGGCGTCGCGCGCGAGACTCAGTGTAAAACCGCGCAGAGGCAGGGCTATCGCATATCGACTCGCAATGCAATTGTACGCAAGCAGTCGCAATGAAGCCGTACTACGTGGTACCCATTCTCACGCGGTCCCCGTTAATCGCGAGGGCCGCGTTCGACACTCAAGTGTCGGCTGACACGCGCCTTGAGGGTTAATCTCTCGACGCTGAACAACCGCCATGAAGACCGCACCCTCTTCTGCACCCTGTAGAGAGGGGTTGAGTAGACAACTTTAAGCTGTCGTGGCGGTCGAACTTCAAGGGGTTTGACTTTGATGGCTGTCACGGACTATAAAGTCCAACTATAAAAACTCCAAAGAGCAAAAGATAAGGAATGGGCCGAAGGTTCCCTGCCTAGTAGACAAAATCATAGGCCTGGGGTACCCTCTCTTTTTCGCGCGGCGTTGGCGGCCTATAGCAATCTCAAAAACATTCGTCCATATGTGTCGGTCGCTTTGTAATCCCATAACCTTTTACACATTAGGGCGGTGAAACGTCGCGCGTGAGATTTTAATATGAAGTTACACTGTCGAGGGCCTACCTCATACCAACCCGCTATTCAGGCATACGCATGCAGTCGCGACGATGGCGTACTATGTAGTGCCCATAATCAAGCGGTCCCTTGTGGATCCGAGTACCGCTTATGACACTCAAGTGTCATACTGGAAGCGTCGTGAGGGCCTAACCCTTCACGACATTGCACGGCTGAAGGAATAGTCGTGCAGCCACCGCGGCACCTTCGGCTCTCGGCCTGAGTGTCTCGGTAGGCAAATCAAATAGGCTCTGCGCGAGGGAACCGCCCCCCCCCTCCTGCAGAGCCCAGGGCTTGGCGAGTCCTGGACAAGGACCTCGAATCCCGGCCCAGGACCAAACGTCCGACTAAGAAAATCATCAAAAAGCAAGAAACCAAAATAGGAGGAGAGACTTTCCCTAAGCCCCTCAGCCTCGGCTTCTGAATAGGGTTTTTGGTATGGGACTCTTTAACCCATGCAAACATTTATCCCAAGTATACCTATGTATACGTATATAAGGGTTAATAATATGACGATCATTTTTTCACGGTTTCACTGGGGTCTCTCACAATAATACGTATATATTTGATCGCAGGCAACCAAATCTAGAATCTGATTCACAACAAATACCTGCAATTACATCAACGAACCAAATCAACAGCCCACACACTACACGGAGTCAACCCCAACCACCTTCGACGCTCATACCCCTTACTTTAGCCATGTAAACCCCAAAACCTCTTATCCAACCAACCTTAATTAAATACTCAGCACCTTTGTTAAATGACCATTCAATAAAAGTCCGGGTGAAACCTTAATAAAACAACGAAATCACCACGGCTAAAGTCTTTTAGGTTGAGTGTGGAGGGAGAGTTGAAATTGAGTCGTAGACCGACGAATCGACAACTGACCTGTTATCCGTGATAACAGTAAGTGGTCCTTAAGGGATCAAGCTGGATCTAGCCCTGAACTTGGATCAAATGATCAAAACGACCTGAAAAACAGGGTAGACCAATCCCCAAGCTAAGATCATAAGTGTATGGAGAATATAACTTCATTATATATCCTCACTCAAAATCTCCCTATAAGTTTAACTTAAGTCTACTTTTAAACCAAATGCTTAAGTTAAAGGTAGACCAACTACGAAATCTCCCCTATTCTGGGTGGATTGCCTGAATCGCCCCCTGTTAAAATATAGTCTATCTCCTTTAAACTAAGAAAATTTCGGCAGCGCTTTCTGTAGGAAAAGTTTCTTTCCATAATTTTTATAAGCTCAAATATGAACACCGAAATAATCTCTAAGTCTGGAAAGTCAAATTTTGTCTAACTCTCTAAATTAGTAGAAATTTGGGCAGCACTCCCTTTAGAAAATGAGACTTTCCAGATTTATACTAAGTCAGATATAAAACAGAAAATAATATCTCACTCTTGGAAAGTCAAATTATATCTAACTCTCTGAATTAGTAGAAATTTGGGCAGCACTCCCTTTAAAAAAGGAGACTTCCCAGATTTATACTACGTCAGATATGAACTCGAACAACAGCTCGAGCTCAACTTTAGACTGAATTTAACTAACTCCTTTAATTTTGTAGAAAATTTCGGCAACACTCCTTCTAGAAAAGTGCTATTCTAAAATTTATACAAGACTAAGTTCAGATTTTGAAAGTAACTTTGGCTTCCCAAAGTGCAATTTTATCTAACTTCCTGAAGTAGCAAAAATTTTGGCAGCACTCCCTTTAGAAAAGGAGACTTCCCAGATTTTAACTAAGCCAGATATATGAAAAGGACAAGTTGAACTCTGACAAGCCAAAGTTGACTAACTTCTTGGATTTGAAGAAATTTAGGCAGCGCTTCCCTGGGAAAAATGGCTTGCCAAGATTTATACAAAGCCAAGTATAAAAAAAGATCTAAAAAAATGCAGGAATTAACCTAAGTAAAAAAAATAAATATTACAGAAAATGCAAGAATTGACACTAACTCCTATGACTCTAGCACGTGGCGAGCAACTAAAGTAACTATCTATAGAACGGAAATCCTAACAAACTAGTCATCCCATTCAGTCACATGCAAACCAAACCACGAATGCAAGTACTCTCACCATCGCAAGTTCATTCCATATAAATAGTCCGTGAATCTTCAAGTTTTTGAATCCTTATACCCATCTTACATAAGACATAGAGCTGGATCATTCGCCATGGAAACAATGCCTAAGCTTGTCTTTATGATATACACAAACAGGTTGCACAATTACTTCTTTCTTCTTTTGGGCAGATGACTAGGCCATTCGCCATGGAAACAATGCCTAGTTGCCCTAAGCTGTTTAATATCCAGAGTTTTAGTATTTCTCTGACTTTGTTAAAAAATAAAAGACAAATATGGGCAGGAGACTGAACCATTCACAGTAGAAACAATGTTCAGCTTGCTTAAAACGATTTTCATTTATACTCTGTATTTTTCCTTCTTTCTTTTTAATGATATGGCTTAACGCTGGACCATTCACAATAGAAACAATGCCTAGCTGTCAGTTCACATGCAAATATACATAAAATACTTTCCTTTATACTTAGTTTAAATTATGTGCGTGGTTTTCAGGCTAAACCATTCACCATGGAAACAATGCTTAGCCTTAGACAAAAAATCCTCCCTCAGAATAAACAAGAATTTAAACCCCTTCAATCAGACAAACCTTCAGAGTTAACTAAGGTAGTCAGGCCATTCACAGTAGAAACAATGCCTCGTTCCCAGAAAACAATTAAATAAATACAGCGACCAAGCCATTCACAGTAGAAACAATGCATTCTCCTACAAAAAACAGCCAAATAAACATAGCCCTGACCCATTCACAGTGGAAATAATGCTCAGGCTTTGGTTGACCCGGTCAACGCATGCAGTCTACCTTCCTCCCACCTTCCCCCAGTTCATCCTTAGTCTGCTTTCAATCAGAACAA